TCTATCTATCCATCTATCTATCCATCTATCTATCTATCCATCTATCCATCTACACTGTAAGCCCCAATAAGTAAACTTAACTCAAAAAAATTAGGGCAACTGATTGCCTCAAGTATTTTAAGTTAATCAACTCAAAACTTACAATTTTCAAGAACTTAAATAATTTGATTAAATGCTACATGTACCTATTGATTACAGTAAAATTAAAATGGCTTATTAAGTCAACTCAAATATGTTCAGGACTGTGACTTAAACATTTGAATTCACCTCTACTAATGGATTAAGTTACCAGAACTTAAAGACATAAGTACTCAAAGTCTTTTTTTTTTGGGTTAACAGAACTCAATATTTATTATTTCAACCAAACCAAACACATTGACTTAGTCAACTCAAAATCACATAACTTAAAAACATTGACACAACTGATTGCCTCAATTGAATCGAGTGAACAGTGAACTTGAACAGCTTTACTAAATTTATTTTCTAGCCCTCTTATTTAACATGCTGTCCTGTTAACATTTACAAGACAGTAAAATAAGTAGTCATAAAAAAAAATAAAAAAATGCAAAGGCAATTGTACTTTTGGCACATTTTGGTTAAAACCTGAATAGAGCAACAACTTTGATAAAATTACAATGACAGTCTGAACCCTTTAACTGTAAAACTGTAAAATGTAAATGAATTACATGAACAAGTATCAAATCTTCACCTGGATGAGTTAAAGTGCAACAACAACAACAAACAAACATGATTAATGCCAGTTAATCAGAAATATTTGGTATTATTAAAGTACAAACAGTCATCCCTCAAAATCAAAGATACTTTGATGTGAACAATGGTAAACAGTACACATTTGACATTAATACAACATGTACAAGTAAAAGGGAACATTGAGCAGCTTGACCACCTGGCTGAAAACCTGCAGCAACTGGTACAGCAACTTTCTTAAGACATTTTTATTTCAGAAGGAAATCACTTTGAAGTAGAGGGAAAATGCCCCACTCCACACCTGTTTTTCAGATGCATTTCTACACATGCATCAGCAAGTCATTCTTGAGGGTCTGCAACTTGGGCGACAATTTACCATCTTCCAGACCAAATAAAACCTTCTGAGTGAACTCGAAAGTGTTTGTCAGTCCTTTGGGATAGCTGAGGTGTACTGCATAAATTAGTCCAAACATTACCAGGAATGCATCTGCAAGTCTGAGGAGGCTGACCACAATATCATTTTCGATGACAACAGAGATGGTCACAGGCTGATATTGCACTTGACTTGTGCCATTGTCACTGGTGACAGTAAGGAGGGCCACTGCAACACCTCCAAGCTCTGGTTCGGACTCTTCCTAAATGAATGAAAGAGAGATAATAATCACAAACTGGGTGTTGGTCATGCATTACATTACATTACATGTTACTTGTTATATGTCAGATTCCTCCGCGTACCGCTAGCGGGAGCTGGCGTACCACCAGTGGTACACATACCACAGGTTGAGAACCACTGGCTTAAGGGATTAGACTGTTTTAATTTCTAAAACAAATGGCCGGAACCAGATACTAAAGCTGCATTACATTACATTACATGACATGTTACTTGTTAGACGCTTTTTATCCAAAGCGACTTACATACTCAATACTGTGGGCAATCCCCACAGGAGCCATTTGGGGTGAAGAGTCTCAGGGACACAACGACATGCTGACTGCAGTGGGGTTTGAACCTGTGATCCGAACACCAATGCTCTATCCACTGCGCCACACCCGCCTCGCAGGAACATTTTTAAAAATCGTGATTTTCTGTGTGGCAATATCTTTTGACTGCAACTCTTGGAGATATACTTTCTAAGTTGTTCATATTTTAGTTAGAACTATGTTTTAGAGAGTTGTTTTGTCAACAGACTACACATTTAAAGGTGAAAACAGGTGTTCTACACCAAATAATCAGACGAGCTACCAGTGAAACCAAGTGCCAGGAGATAAAACATATCCAATAAATGTTTTACTTAACTTCAGTATCGCTTCAAACAAAAAAAACGATTCAGTTCATTTGTATTTGGGTGAAGGAAAACAGACCAAAACCTCTGCAAATCACACAAACTATATGGATGGATAGACAGAAACAGGATAAGTGCAAACAAATATTTGTATTTTAATGAACTATTCACTTAATATAGAGTGGTACTGTTAATGAATTAAGGAGACTCACTGTGCAGGTTCGTACAAATCCAGAGGTGTCCTCTTGCAGATACACAGGAAGGGCATGGATAACGGTGGTACGCCTGGTGTTGATGTCGTGTAATTCCTATAACGATAAAAATACAAGCGTACAAACTGTTGACTGTGAAGTTTACTGAACAAACCTGTCAATCCAATCAGAACATATATCCCCAGACAACCTGTTCACATCTTTAATGCAATCAGACAAATAGCAAAAACAAAGTGGGCTAATTGTAAAATTCAAAAGATATTTTTTTAATCTGTTTAACGTTAGATGTTCAACCTTTGAATTGTAAAATAATCTCTTTACCTGTTCATTGTGGATTTTTAAAATTTCAGCCAAAGCCTCAGCTGTCTCCCAGATTTGGACGCCTTCTGTCTAAATATGGCCATCAGTCGAGGAAGATGGCGGTCAAAAGCAGCGTAGAACGTGTTGGGCAGATTCTGGTTTGTAATCCGTTGGAACTCTGCATACACCTATTTAAAAAACAGAGCAGAAGGACAATACAGCAATGTCAATTAGTCAGTTCCAAATAAATCAAACTAGGTTAAAGTGGTATCCTCCTTACAAATGTAATAGATCCTCCAAGTTTGACCAGTCAGTTCCTTCCCTGTGGCAAGAACGAGAACTTCACCTGGACTGTTCTTTTCCTTGCATTACATTACACCACAGGGAAGGAACTGGAACTTTGAAGATCTATGACACTCCTATATACAGCAAATAGCCACTATAAGAGTCACAGAATGCGCTATTATCAATAAAGAAGAAAACAGGAAAAAGAGAACTAATCTATATTACCTCAGACTCCATTTTGAGAGCAGGCCAGAGGTCCATGAGCTCGTTCACTGCCGGGCATGTCCTCACTATGGTCTGTCCCCGCAGTGCAAATGTGGTGTGCATCATCTTTTTAATGAGGGGTAGGTCCATCTCAGTCTTCTTGACTTCCTCAACAATTGTCTGCCTCAAGTGCTCAAGACTTGAGAGATCCTCTCCTTGGGGAAGGTTGAACAAATCCTATATTTAAAATGTAATGTAAGCTACTGCCTAATAACTTCTTAAACATCCATTGTCTGTCCGTCCTGGGAGAGGGATCCCTCCTCTGTTGCTCTCCCTGAGGTTTCTCCCATTTTTCCCTTTAAACTGTGGGTTTTCTTCGGAAGTTTTTCCTTGTACGATGTGAGGGTCTAAGGACAGAGGGTGTCGTATTGTCATACTGATATTTTGTACAAACTGTAAAGTCCACTGAGACAAATGTAACATTTGTGATATTGGGCTATATAAATAAACATTGATTGATTGATTGAGTTAATGTTAGTATGGTAAATTAATTAATGGACAACAAATGGACAAGCGTTCACTACCAAGCCTGTTAATAATCTGACATCGTTATATTCACTTTAACATTACCTTTCTCTGCTCTGCCCCATGTGTGTGGCCTCGCGCTTGTTGAACCCGTATACAGAGGTTGAAACCTGGGTGAAGGAGAGTGTTAAACGTTAGCAGCGGCTCTCGTAATTCAGCAGTGGAAGTGAAGGGAACACAAACACACAACCCTCCGCGCCTCGTGGTTTACAGTGTGGTTTATCTCCTTCAGACTAAAGCTGAACAAATCCAATATTTAAAATGTAATGTAAGCTACTGCTTAATACATTCTTAAACATCCATTGGGGAAATGTTAGTATGGTAAATGATGAATTAATGGACAACAAATGGACAAGCGTTCACTACCGAGCTTGTTTATAACTGACAACGTTATATTCAATTTAACATTACCTGTCTCTGCTCTGCTCCGTCCCGTGTGTGTGGCCTCACGCTCGTTGAAACCGTATAAAGAGGTTGAAACCTGGGTGAAGGAGAGTGTTAAACTTTAGCAGCGGGTCTCTTAATTCAGCGGCAGCGAGGAGAGCACGGAGGGAGCACACACAATCCTCCGCACCTCGTGGTTTACAGTGGATGAAAATGTTAGCTTGCTAACTGTTAGCAAACTAGCTAGCTAGTGACCGTGTTAAATAGTGACTTTCAGTCCAATGCCTTCGGGGTTGCTCGTAGTAAATTAAGTAAATGGTTGGGTATATTATGACACACATTTGAGTATAAATTGATTAAACTAACATTGAAGACTTTTATTAGGAAACCTACCTGTTATGTTAGTGTTTCAACGGCTGCCGTCACTACGAGCACCCACAACCACAATGCATTTGGCTGAACTTTTTGAATACATAATTAGCTTAGGGGCAATGACATTTTTCATCATATACAAAAAGTGACAGCCCTATTTTGGCACCAAGTTTCCACAACTACATATCTTACAAGTTAACATTATACAGTAACTGTGCAAATAATTCAGGCATTTCTGTGAATCTGCTGACTCAACCTATGGCTAATGCTAGCTAACATGCATGTATCTGGCTAACATCAACACTCTCTTTCACATGTTTAATCTCAAAATATTAAAAAAAGTGAAGAAATATGAATATTGTACTTACAGTGAGACCAATGATGCTGATTACCACCGGAAAGTGTGGAAATTAAGTGTGAAGATCCACCTTATTGCAGGTATTAGCTGCATGTGCTGCATCCCACTTTCGACAGTTAGTGACGGTTAGTGACGTCAGACACACAATAAGCATTAGAAATGAGTACAGTTCAATGTATATGTTTAAGTGATGCTTACTTAATCCGCCAAATAGTTCAAGTTAATCAAAGATTATCAGTTTACTTAACTCAAAAACGAAGAACAGTCACAGGAACTGAATATATTGAAGTTAGTAGAACTTTTTTTTAAATTTAAGTTTACACTAATTAATCTATTTAATTATTTTTGAACGTTCGGGTTTACAGTGTATCCATCTATCTATCTATCTATCTATCCATCTATCCATCTATCCATCCATCTATCTATCCATCTATCTATCTATCCATCTATCCATCTATCTATCTATCCATCTATCCATCCATCTATCTATCTATCCATCTATCTATCCATCTATCCATCTATCTATCCATCTATCTATCTATCCATCTATCCATCTGTCCATCTATCTATCCATATATCCATCTATCCATCTATCTATCTATCCATCTATCTATCTATCTATCTATCTATCCATCTATCTATCCATCTATTTATCCATCTATCTATCTATCTATCCATCTTTCCATCTATCTATCCATCTATTTATCCATCTATCCATCTATCTATCTATCCATCTATCCATCTATCCATCTATCTATCCATCTATCCATCTATCTATCTATCCATCTATCTATCTATCCATCTAGCTATCCATCTATCTATCCATCTATCTAGCTATCCATCTATCTAGCTATCCATCTATCTATCTATCTATCTATCCATCCATCTATCCATCTATCTGTCTAGCCATCTATCTATCTATCTATCTATCTATCCATCTATCTATCCATCTAATAACCTCTTCCAGATAATTCATTCGGACTGAAATTGATATATAAGCTTGCTCGATATCGTCTCTTACATAAATGTTAATATTAAAGAGTACACCAAACACTTGCTGAGCTTCAAGTTATCTGAACTTCCTGATCGATCTCAGCTGAGGGGGGTAGCAGCAGTGGTCAATATGTTCTGTTCTGTAGGATTCACAATAACAGAGAGAGACTGGGACCAAAACAGCAGAAAAGATCACTCAGTATACATCGATCCTTATATAGTGTGGCTCTGAATTATTAACCAATAGCAGTGTGAAGGGATGAAGCTGTTCACTTTGAAACAGAGCTAGCCCCAACCCTAGAAACATTACAAGATTTAGATACCAACACCACTTTTACACCTTTATTTACCTATTTTTAAGCCCTTTTTAGTTGATTGTTTGGGGTTTATGATCCATAATATCGGCTCATATATTGAGCTTGAATAAAAGCAGATTTGGCAGAAAACAATAAATCAAGCAGAGCAAACGCCTTCCTGAGGGTCAATAGGTTGCCGTTATTTGTCTTTACTGGTCAATTCTAATTACTCTGTTGCGTGTATTCCTGACACTGCACTTGCATGCACTTTAATTGCTATATCACTACTAAATACAATTATAATTAATACAAAATTAAATTTAAAAAGCAGATTTGCGGGGAAATACCTTTTACAAATTGGAAGGATCAATTTCAGGTTGGCATATTGTGTTAATCTGACATGCTAGATCACGTCATATAAGGTCATTTTACTGAAGGGATGGGAACATGAAGAGTCTAGGTTCTACAGTTTTGGGTTGATAATGAAATCTAAGACACAAATCTAAAACTAAGCCTAACTTTTTCATCATTAGATTTATACTGTGAAGATTCATTATGCCATCCATAATATAAATACAAGTCTGGAGCAAAGACCAAAGGTTCCAAAGTGGACATTTGTACAAAACGGTTTTTACATTGACTAACACAAGATATTCACTTTTAGTATAGAGTAATGTAAGCATTACAAAGGAAATAAGAAAATGACCCTTCCCAGTGTGATAGCTTGGCAGGGCCTTCAAACATTAAGTCTGGAAAGTGTTCTTGCAGCCAGGATATTGTGTATGAAATGGTTCATGAGCTGCTCGGGCTACATTATAGGGGATTGGATATCTCATTCCTTTGGGTTACTGCTTGTGTTGGGCTGGAAGGAAATGAGAAGTTGGACATGAAGGCTAAACAACGACTTTACGAGTGATTTGACAGACAATTACCCTCAGGAAAAGCAGTGGTTAAAGCTATCATAAAATACTTTATGCACAGAACCTGACAGGAATACTAGGTTGGGTTATAAGTGACACAGAAAGACATTTCTATAGTAAAAAAAAACATGTGAGCATTGGTCAAATATAGGGAAAGAGCCCATGGAACAGTTATTGTCTGAGAAAAGAGATTCTCTATTGAACACTATATAATTGCCAAGCCCCTGACTGGACTATGGACACACTGCCAGCAACGTATATGTATCAAACATGTATTGACATTTTGCAACAGGTATGATGAGAAAGGAAGAAAATCAATAACAGGAACTGATCAAAAACACAATATTAAATCGGGGAATAGTAATAAGAGACAGAATTTAGTTGTGGTTTCCTCCTGCCAATATACTGCTCTAAGCTCCATTTCAAGGGACAGTAATGCATAACCAAGCTGTTCAGCATCGGGTCTTATTTAGATAGAGACCCTGGAATTTGCGAAGATCTCACAAGATGGTTAAGGTTGGGCATTGAATTCAAATATGTGAATGGAAGCGCATGAAGCAGACCATATTTGATTGAATATATAAATGATTGGTGTGCAGTCTGAGGGTCTGTATGGCATGACTAAAAAGAGCTGCACAGAGAGTTTTGAGACAACTGATTATGCATGTATAACAAGGGGAAATATTTGATGTGTTGTGTGCAATTATGACAGGTTAAGTATCTTTGGGATCATATGTTTGAATTAGAATTTAAAATGTTCTCTTGTGGGTTAGAGCAATACAATTATTCAGCTCAGATGTAACATGATGCATCCAGTCCTCCAAACTTTATACACTTTGTGAAAATTGAGCGCCAGTCGCCCTCTTGTGTCACTGAAAGGTACTTTTTATTAAGGCAGAGCAAGCTGTTCTGGATCTGATTATTGTACATGAAGACCAGAGGGAAGTAACTCAGTATGTTTACTCATACTGTTTCGAAGTACTGGTACTTAACTTGCGTATTTCCATTGTATGCTACTTTATACTTATACTCTACTTTAAACGGGAAATAATGTAATTTTACTTCACTGCGTTTATTTAACAGCTTTCGCTTCTTTTAACAAAACCCATCCCTAAAAATGTAAATAGTGGACACTAAAGAAAAAAGGTATTTAATGTTTTTACAAAAAGTCAATGCCACTTGATGCAACAGCATTATCTAGAAATGTCACACATATAAATATAATTATATACACACATAAAGGAAATATTTCTGCCCAATGAGTACAAGTACATTTTGCTGATAATACTTTATAACTTTTACTTAAGTAAGATTTTAAGTGCAAAACTTTTACTTGTAATGAAGTATTTTGAAGTATATTGGTATTTTTACTTTTAAGTAAAGCATCTGAATACTTCTTCCACCGCTGATGAAGACACAAACACATCTATACCTTCCTTTAAAATGAAGGTACCACATTTCAAATATAATGCTGTCTATTACAAGAGCACCACAAACTGCAGCCTCCAAAGTGACATTAGACTAAAATCAACCCCTCTGTTATAATGTGAAAAAGTCAGATTGCAAAAAACACGCTGACACAGCGCTGTTATAACACATTTCACGTTCAGAGTCATATTCGTCTCTGCCACACTTGTCCCAGGGATTTAGAGAAAACAAACAAGCACAGATTCAGCTAATTCCTTGGCAACGGAAGAAAAAGTGTATACTTTTTTAGCAATCCAGCAGTACTTAGGGAAAGCAACAATAAGACTAGGGAAGGCAATGCAAGTTTATTTATATGGCACCTTTCAACACAGGGAAGATAATATAAGAAAAGTAGAGTGCATTATACCAGATGGAAAAACAGAGAAAAGCTTACGTTAATGTTAATCATTCATGTTAACATTATGGATCAACATTTTAATATGTTTTAATATTCTTTTAGTACACATTTTAATATTTGGGTGGGTTTTTTTTTTCTTTCATTTTATTTGACCGGACTCTTCACTTTGAAAAGTGTTAAAAGAATCAGCATTTCATCAAGTTAAATATTAAAATGGGCGTAAAACTTCAGCTCTATTTTAAACCAAAACTCACATATCCATGTGTTCATCTAAATATTTTTGGTTGATTTTCTTCTTCCTTTCTTGATTGTGCATTCAAACGAGAGGCGTCAGAAGCTCAAGGTGAAAAATGAGGTTGATAACTTCTGTTAAGTCTCCCTCTGATGCTTCCATGAGGACTCTTAGGTCTCTATATTTTTATTATATTTGATCTAATTATTTTTGGGTGTTTCCCAACCTTTAGGGATTACAACATTAAAAACCCATAGCAGATTTTGTTATGTAAATTCCTGTATTTTTTATAAATTGAAATGCCACTGCAATTACACCAGCAGAACTACATGTACAGCTTATGGCACAAACTATGGCTGCTCAATTAATCGTATTTTAATCGCAATTACGATTTTGGCTTGCAACGATTATGAAAACAACATAATCGAAATAAAACGATTATTATTATTTATTTATTTTTTGTTCTTTTTTTTGTTATTGGTTTTTCAGTTGAATTATACTTAAAGTTCAGTGTAACTATATAATACTCTAATTAAAAGATTATCTGCAACATTTGGCTTATTGTATTTATTTTTTATTTTGACAGTTATATAGTTTACTTGATCCGCATTACTTGCACATTGGTCTTGAAGGATAATCCTGCACTACATAATTATTTTATTGTACTGTGTTTCTTCTTGCACTATTTTAATGTTTTTTAAATGTGTTTTATTGTTTTATGTCATATATATTTATGTTGCAATGTTGGAGGAGCATGGGACTTTACATTACCAGCACTAAACTGTAGCTACTGTGCATACTCTATGACAATAAAGCTTTTAAATCTTGAATATGTCTGAGCTGTTTCTAAATATTCATACCTGCCTCAGGTTAGGGAAGTCAGAGTGGATTGAAAGCACATGAAAATGTATGAAAGGAACATTTTGGATTTGAGATCCTTTCATGTGATTTGCTGACAGTAAGAAACATTTAAAAGAAACGTTTTGTCCTTTAACTAACAATGATTTTGAGAAGAAAAAGTTCTCCTCATCTTCAGGTTAGTTTGA